TTGCTTCGTTCGTGCTTTTACCATGTAAAGCTGGGGGTCCAGAGTCGTGTCATCTTGAGAGCACAACTGCCAGCTGCCATACTACTCGTTGCTAAGCAACGAGCGACGTGATATTTGCCTCAATGCCGTAAACGCCACCAACCTTGACGTCACACGGGCGGCGATATGTCGGCGGCGTACACGTCTCGGGCACGAATCGGTTGACCAGCGCTTTGTACTGACGTCGGGGGCCGGCGCTGGCGGCGAGCCATTCATTCAACTAAAGAAGCGGGTCTCCCGACACCCGCGTGACCAGACTGGCAACTGGGGCTGCGAGGTGGGGCTTGATTTATCGGGTCTTACGCCTGCGCCTTACAAATGGCGCCGCGATGGAACCGTCAGCGGACTTCGTCACTGAGAGCTCCGCTCCGAACAGGGGTCCAGTGTTGTCGAACGAAACGACGACGTGTTTTGCGCTTTGAAATCCCGCCTTTTGAAGACATGCGTCAGATATGTACGGGTTGAAGTTCAGCTGTGGGGCAGAGAGTCATTTTGGGTCACGACGTGTCGTGATAACTGCGTCTATGACTATTATGTCCATGTGGTATGAATCAGGAGCGGCTCGATTCATGTTTTGAAACCAGGCCCGGGCTATGAAAGCGCCCGTTGTCGCTGACCGCAGTCCGTTCGCTTCGTTAAGTCGCGTTTGAACTCTAAGAGCTTTGGGCTTACGTTAGGCCTGAAAGGTCAGTTTCAGAGGGAATAAGAAGCGGATGAAGACACTGGGTGATCACGGAAGCCGTCCGGGGTTATCCCGAGACCACAAGGCTTATACCGCGCGGCGAGCCCTGCTTAAGTTGTGCGGGGGTCCCGGCCGGGGTTCGCCACCGGGGCGGCCGGCCACTGGTGGCGGGTGCGGTCTGGCTCCGGTGGCGCTAGGCTTTCCTGGTATGCGGGTGATGCGGCGCTCGTGCATGAGAGAGTGGACATCGCGCGGCCTTGACGGCCACGGCCGTCGCCCTGCCGCTGCCTCGCCTGTGTGGGGTGGGCGTCCCACCCCCCCCCCCCTCCCCCTCCCCCGCTAGCAGGCGTCACATGCTCCCTGCTCCGTCCGGCAGGGGTGTCGGCTGCATCTTCTTCGAGATGGCTGCCGGCCGGCCGCTCTTCCCCGGCTCGACCGTCAAGGACGAGCTGACGCTCATCTTCAAGACGCTCGGCACGCCGTGCGAGGAGACGTGGGCCGGGGTGACATCTACCGAGGAGTTTCAGCAGTACAAGTTCCCGACGTGCCGGGCAGAGTCGCTGGGCGACCGCTGTCCGCGGCTGGGCTCGGACGGGCTGGCGCTGCTGCGCGAGTTCCTCCGCTACGAGGTGGCGGCGCGCGTCTCGGCGGCCGGCGCCATGCGCCACCCCTACTTCAGCTCGCTGGGGCCCGGCGTGCGTTCACTACCCGATGGTGAGTGGCGCCGCGCGCGGATGACGCACTGCGGCAGGGCGGCGGACGGGCGGACAGGCTCATAGGCTTACAGGCTAACAGGCTTACGGGCGGATGGGCGGGCCCAGCGAAGACGTCAGACCATAAGGCACGTGGACAGAGACCCAACGGGGGCGGCGGAGGGGTTGTCGGGGCACAGCTACTGGGCATGATCTGAATCATGCGAGATCGCGCCATTCCATCAGCCATGATTACGCGCTGTGAGTTCTAAGTCGGTCTGGTGGATTGTGTAAGCTTTGAGCGGTAGTATTTGGCCCCATAGTAAACTGGAGATGTGTATAATGTGCAAAAATGTTGTCATTTTGCAAGCCGTTGTAGATCATTGTCTATACCATTGTTGTATAAGGCCTATGTGCATGTCACGTTATGATCTCGGAGCCTGAGGGCTGGCGTATTCGCCTATCAGCCATCCGTTAGGTCGGTGAAGGCATGCTTGTAACGGTCCACTTTTTGCAGGGCACTTTTCGGCCGTTTGCCATGCTGCCTTTTCAGGAAGTTTTATCATGTACGATGTGCTTGGTCCAGCCCTTACACCGTCCCGTTCATTTTCAGACGCTTCAATATTCTCAGTGCCGGGCATCTGTTTGACCCGGGACCAGGGTCGGAGCAGCTCGAGTCTAGCGCAGCCAAGCGCCCGCCAGCGGAGGCAAACCCTGGTGCTGTGAGCGTCGTCTGCCGGCGCTATTCCGAACTTGTAGTTCTCGCGCCGGCCGCCGGACGGCGGCCCTGACGCGATTCCCTGTCCATTCCTGGCGGCGCCCGTCGCCGCCGCGGCGGAGCGACGTGAGAGCAGCAAGAGCGTGAGCGCGAGCGATAGATGGTGCACTAGTCTCAAGGTTGGACCGGCCGTCTTTCAGGACCTCTGGTTCCGACGCCGGGGCTGGCGGCAGCGCAGCGCCCCGCCTGAGCAGCGCGCCGGTCCGCCCCGCCACGGCCGCACAGGGCCACGGCAATAGTTGTCAAATCGCGTGGCTGTAAGCTTCCTTTGCGCGTCCATATCTATGTTTATAAATAACCTTCGACGCGGCCGCGCGAGAGATGACTTGTGATGTAATTATATGTATCCGGCCACGTAGTCGCGCGATAAATTGCGGCTGCTGCCGGGCGGGGAGGTGGGCCGCGGCCCCGGAGACCAGCCGCGCCGGGGCGGCGCGCGGCCCCGCCCCGTTGTTCAGTTGTGGGAAGTCTATTTTTGCTATATTCGTTCGGGCCCGGTCTGTGTTGTTGTGACGTGAGATGTGAGTCTGTCAGAGCGTGGTGGTTCACACGTAATGCTCGACCAAAATCGCCAATAAAACTATTTGTATAATGTGAAGTTGACGATGCCGGCTGTTTTCTTCGGGCGGGAGGAAGATACTGTTTCGCTTAAGTTAGTACATTTGCTTCGGATTGGGAGGATGCACGAATCTGGCCAGAATTCCTATAATTTTTGTTGTCAGAATTTCGCTTACGATCACACTGGTTGTCCAGCAATAGAAACTGGGTGATGGCACCCATTATCAGCGAAACTAATTTCGTTTAGTAGATCAGCAAAATTTATCACGTTACGATGCCGCGTTTGAGGCGTCGCATGCACGCATTGCAACAGTTCGGCGCCAAGGACACCCGTATCAATCAAAATATGACTCGACATCCAGTCATGGTGTTGATCAACTCGGTGCTGCGACGGAGCTTGGCCGGCTGAGGCCGATCGTGCCGGCTCGGGTTCAGCACAGCACACGTACTCACTGACCCATGAGGTGTAAACGAATGCAGAGCGGAGGGCTAAAGCGCGCCCCGGCATCGCCAGCGACGTTACGTGTTTGACACAGTCGGCCACCGCCCGGGTAAGACTACAGCGCCGGGCAGGGTGTGATAGACACCCTGCACGGCTCGCGAGTCGGATCTCGACAGCACAGCTTAGCGCGGCGCACAAGCAATCCGCGGGAGTTATCACTCCGCCCGTAGAAGAGGATAAAGATCTGATCGCTGTCGTAAATTGAACATGTAAGCTTCCGTGAGTGCGGACGGACGACCGTCTTCGCGCATAACAATGAGCGGTTGACAACAATGGGCATAATGTGGCAGGCGAGATGCCGACCGGTGGTGCCGAGCAGGACCAGTCGTGTTACCTGGCAGCCAGGTCGTGTGCAGCTCAGCACGTGCAATGCCAGTGAAAGCACTCACAGACCGGCCACTGCAACTCCGAGCGGGAGAAGTGCTCACTTATCTTAAGTCATTTCCATCAACAGAGCCCAAGTAAGGGGGCCGGGGAACCCAGCCAAGTAAAAAACAATGGCTTTGCACAACTGGCAAAAGTGGCGATGCCATTACGCTAGAAGACAGTTAGCGTGGCATGAGGGAAAACGAAACAAAAGCGCGCTGGGACAGAACAGGAGGCGTACCGGATTTCGAGTCGGACCTGTGTGGGCAGACCGGTTCACTGACAGGCCACAAACGGATTTGGACACGCGAAAAAACGGGACAGTCTCCACCTTGCAAGTTTGTAGAGAATGCAGGCAGATGATAAATTGCGAGCTCTTCTTCTCTCCGTTGGCTGTCCAATGTGTGCCATCTTCTGACGGAGGTAAGCTCTCTCGCCCCATACGGAAGAGCGCGTTCCTCGTTTCGCAACATGTGCGCACGTGCTCACTGGGCACAATCGGGGAGGGTACATCCACGAGAAAGACTTGACCAGCCTAGTCTACTGTGACCGAGTCACAACATACCGAGAAAACGCGTTGCGTATTGCAGCATCTGCATTATATGACATACTCAACTTTGACCTGATCCGATTAATACATACGAATCGGATACGGAACGTGGTGATTGGTATAATGGAGCATTTGCATTATATGACATACTCAACTTGGACCTGATCCGATTGATACATACGAATCGGATACGAACGTGGTGATTGCTATAATGGAGCGCGTCGGCTACTTAGGCTATTCTGCTGGACGCGGAGCATATGCCTGTCCCAAACGTCTTTTCCACTGCGTCGTCTTAAAGGCACAGGAGAAATGTCATGTTCCCACGTCCGGAGCATACTGCATATTCGGCTTTGAGTTATGCATAAGCGCCATTGCGATGTGAGCGGTGATGTAAGTGTTAAACCACCGCGAGTGGTGAGGTCACTTCGTGTCGCAAACCGCACGGCCGGAGACGAGGCCCGGCTCTGGCCGGCGCACCGGCTGCCAGATCGCACAAGGACGGTGTGCGGTCCGGGAATGGACCAATCCGCGGCTGGGACGCAGACGTCGACACCGCGCCAGTTTAGGGCGCAGCCGCAACACACACCATATCTGCTCCGCGGTCAAACTGTGCAGCGATGCAGCGACGGGGCGTGAGCGACAGCCTCCGATACGGCGGCCGTGGCCGCATGCCATTGCGGCCGAGCGACTCCAGGCAGCGTGGCGCGGGGGTGAGACGTCCGGAACACACCACCGAACGAGACCCCACGGGAGCGGCCTGGTACGTCCTGACGGGTGTCAGGCGTCCCCGCCACTCCGACATCCTGCCCCGTCGCAGATGCGCACACGCCCTGCACGGGCTCGGTCTCTGTATTCACATCGGCAGACCGCACGTCATCACATATCTGGTCTGTGGCTACCCCGCCGCGCCCGGCGCAAACATCAGGTGCGGCTTACGGATGCTGCTAACATATACACAGCGTCCGGCTGGTTCGGCGAATGACAATTCAACACGAGGCCCGTACTTGGGCGGCATCACAATCGCCACCATCTGTTTATGTTCCTGTAATCGCTGGCAATTCATTACGAACGGCTATACGCACGCCACGTCCAGTACGGTGCCCGTTCACACGCTGCGAATCACGCTTACCAATTCCGCACTATATTGATAAAATAATCAGATATCGCCCGCATCCCACGCATTCACACCGCGCCACCTTCCCGGAGACGCGTCACCTGGCCGCCTCCGGAGAGGCGACTTGCATTGTAACAGAGGCGGCCGGCCGGGGCGGCGTCTCACATGGCGGCTCCGGGGTAGCGCTCCACGATCATGCCCACGCCCTGCCGAGCGAGGCTCCCGTCAGGTCAAGGCCCGGTCACGGACCGCCGCCGGGCCGGGCGGCGCCAGCGGGCCGTCCGGCACCACCTCCGGTGAGGGACTCGGCCGACGACACGTCACGCGCATCACACGCACAGTGGCTCGGCAGTCGGTTCTAAAAGCTGCCCGATAGACGGTGACGGGACAGGAGGCTAGCTGCGGATGGCGAACCCGTCGCAGAGAGAGCAGAGGCCCGCCTCCATACACCAAGAGGCGCCGGCCGTGCAGCGGTGGGGGACCAACCACTGCCAATGGATAAAAGAGAGCTGACCCGCCGTCCGGGGCTCGAGGAGAGCAGAGCAGGGTGACCCACCGGTCGAGGCTCGAGTAATAGCGGCCCACCACCCAACAGCGGGGAAGGGTGGCCCGCCGCCCGAGGCCGGAAGAGAGCACGGGAGGTTGACCCACCGGTCAAGGCTCGAGGAAGGGCGGCCCACCACCCAACAGCGGGGGAGGGCTGACTCGCCACCCAAGGCCGGAAGGGAGCAGGAGAGGATGACCCACCGTTCGCGAGCGGACACGGACGACTCACCTGTCCTCCGGCGGCGCAGGCGGCGATGAGCGCGTACTTGCCGTCCTCCTTGATGAGCCGGTGAGCGGCGTGCATTGCCAGCCGGACACCTGCCGGCCAGACACGTCGTCAGACGGCGCTACCGCCCCCGCCGCGGCGGCCGGTCGAGCGGCGCGGCACCCGCCCCTGGGTTATCTAGCACCTGCTATTGTCTCCGAGGCAACACATGTCTCAACAACGTGTGTTAGGGGGAATGCGAATATTACACAAAATATCTACCTAACAAGTGTGGTGTAGGTTAATTTTATTGGCATGCATCGGGGTACATGAACAGCACCCAATTATAAGTGCACCCAATTGTATGTAATAGAACCCAAAATGCATGCCGACATCCAATTAACTGGCAGCGCTTAACAAATTAGGAATGTTGAGTTGAGTAATGAAAAATAAAGCAATCACCATGGAGCAGTCTGTACGGCCCAACGCGCCAGGGGTTCCAGGGGTAGTGTTCATCGTTACGCCTTCAGTAGCTGGCGGCCGCCCTGCCCATCACCGCCCTGCAGCGCCACGAGCTGCCGCGCCGCGCGGCGGCCGGGAGCAGCGCCCGAAAACGCCGGCGCTGGGTCCGACAGCGGGCGGTGCGCGGCCGCACTGCCCGGGCCCCGGCGGGGCGCCGGCCCGGCCCGCACCTGTGGCGCCGAACGGGTGGCCGATGCTGAGCGAGCCGCCCCACTTGTTGAACTTGTCCATCGGCGGTGCGCCCACCTTGGCCGAGCGGCCCATCTGGTTCTTGGCGAAGTAGTCCGAGTCCATGGCCTTCATGTTGGCCAGGATCTGACCCTGAGGCACGGGACGGGGCCGGCGTTACGGACCGCTGCTGGGTCTGGTCAGCCGCGGGTCAACACCGATACCTGGCTCCGGGGCACGGGGCGGGGCCGGCGTTACGGACCGCTGCTGGGTCTGGTCAGCCGCGGGTCAACACCGAGACCTGGCTCCGGGGCACGGGGCGGGGCCGGCGTTACGGACCGCTGCTGGGTCTGGTCAGCCGCGGGTCAACACCGAGACCTGGCTCCGGGGCACGGGGCGGGGCCGGCGTTACGGACCGCTGCTGGGTCTGGTCAGCCGCGGGTCAACACCGATACCTGACGCCGGGTGACGGGGCGGGCCGGGCTCCCCACAGCGACACTGGGACGGACAGCGGAGCCCAGACGGCCACGCCTGCGGGTCCGATCGTGGCCCTGTAGCACGGCAGCCGGCATGGCGCGCTGAGCGAGACAGCACCAACAGAACAGCAACCCTGCCGGGCGCCGCTACCAGCGCCATCTGTCCAGCCTTTGCGCATGCGCAATTGAAACCGCACGCCAGAAGTCCGGTAGAGTGCTAACGAGTGAATCAGAACCACAGAACGGAACTTATGTCGACAACAGAACTGTGAGCGCGGGTGACGCTGCCACTCACGGCGAAGGCCTCGTGGAACTCCCAGACGTCGATGTCCTGCGCCTTGAGGCCGGCCTTCTCCAGCACGCGGGGCGTGGCGTACGTCGGCCTGCCGACCCCGGACGGACGGTCAGACGCCGCAGCGACGCGCCGGCCGGCACTCCAGCAGCAGCGAGGCACGGTCACGAACACTTGGTGACACTTAAAGCGATGCAATTATCTACACCACTCACATGTTGCTCACAAGCACTTGGGCAACGATACAGACCCTCACACTTCTATGCCATTTTTAACAAAAATTAGTGATCCCAATAAATGCTTCTTGTGGTTCGGTTCAGGTAATTCTAGTCCCGTTATCTTTAAGTCTACCCGAACATCGCGCTAACTTGCTTCACATATCTTCGTTTTGTCACCAACGTCAAACGCCCACTAACAGGATGTCTCTGATTATCCCGGCGGCGCAGCTGGTCGATGCGTGTGGCAATGACAGTCGGAAGTCACTGGTTCAAGCCTGACTTCGGTACGCTTTTCCCCGACTGCCCCCTACTCAGGAGATGGTGCAGCAGCTGGGAAGTGATCGCCTGGCCGTCGGGTAAACGCTGAACCAATTAGCGCACGTGGCCGTGGCGTCCCGGGTATGGTCTGTCTTTAAATAGACCCTTTGGTCCGGTGTCATTTCCCCACGGCACGGCCTCGCTTTATGTCGCCGGAGCCGTCCTCTTGACGCACCGGGCCCGCGGAGCCGGGATAGTCTGCGTGTGCGCCTGCGTCTGCGTGGTCAGGTCCCTCCCGCATAGATACCGAAAACAGAAACTTCCGTCATGTGCATGCCGAAAACTGAAATCTCTGTCGTGCACGTGCCGAAAACTGGAACCCCCGTCGTACGCAAAGCATACCCGTGTAACTGACAGTGTGAGTCATGCATGCAACCAGAAAAGTCCAAGTGGGGCACCATTTTTTCCTGATGCCTTTGTGCATGTATACGTCTACGAATTTTGGCCAAAATATTGAAGCGCTGCGCCCCATCTTTGTCGTCATCTACCCGTAAGATGAAGACAATTTTACAGAAGGCTGTAACAGCCCAGGGGGAGGACATAACGATAACGTTTGCGCAGCATTCCGCCGATGGCCCTGTTCCGCAGGAGCCATCCCAGGCGGCACGATCGTGCCAGACCAACATTCGGTGACTGGTACAAGGCAACAGTTTGACTTTATGTCAGCTTCTCCCGTGGAGTACAGTGTTTCGATCGCGTCTTAACGACGGGAGGCCCTGCCGATTTCTCTGGGCAGGTGCGGGGCGCGTTTGACGGCCGCCACATCTCCGGACGCCGTGCCAGGTGGGCCGCAGCCAGGGCGGAGGCCCTGCCAATGCAACGGTGCACAGCTGGCACTGAGTGACCGCTGCTGACGTCGGCCCGGGCCGCGCGCCGGACAGCGGGAGGAGTGCGGTCTGCTGAACAGCCCCCGCCTGCCCAGCTCACTCCGGGGCAGACGGGTGGGAGTGATCTGAGGGGTGCGCCCCTCCAACACCCGCCCACCTCACTCCGGGGGAGACGGGAGGAGTGATCTGAGGGGTGCGCCCCTCCAACACCCGCCCAGCTCACTCCGGGGGAGACGGGTGGGAGTGATCTGAGGGGTGCGCCCCTCCAACACCCGCCCACCTCACTCCGGGGCAGACGGGTGGGAGTGATCTGAGGGGAGCGCCCCTCCAACACCCGCCCACCTCACTCCGGGGGAGACGGCAGGAGTGATCTGGGGAGAGGAAAGGAGCTGGCGCGGACCTCTTATTGACGGCGGATAAATGACACCCAGCGAACCCTAGAAGTTAAAGCGCAAATTTTTGTGCTGGACCAAAGTCAAGCAGTGACAAACAAAAACGCTTTTCAGACGACAAAAAGCGTGACTGTGAAATCCCGCTTCCTGGTCTTAAAATAGCCGTCGCCATAGTCCAAACTTTTGGACAACACAACGATGTTTTCACCTCATCCCCCTCACTGTTCAAGCCATCCCCACAAAGTGAAGCTGTACCCCGCCGCGCCACGAGCCAAACGCGATCCTCCCCGCCCCTCCATAACCAAGCGCGCCGACCTCCGGCCGGCCGGTGCCTGGTCAGAGCGGGCCGCCGCTGCGCTCACCCCAGCAGCAGCTGGTCCTTGGGGTCCTGCGACACGAACGTCAGCTCGCGCAGGTACGCCTTGGGCTTCCAGCCCATCTCCTTGGCCTTCTCCTCGGTGGTGATGAGGCAGGCCGAGGCGCCGTCAGTCAGGAAGGACGAGTTTGCCGCCGTCACCGTGCCGTGCGGCTTGACGAACGCCGGCTTCATGGCGGCCATCTTGGCCGGCGGTGTCAGCCTGATGCCGTTGTCCTCCGAGACCATCTGGTCCTTGCCCGGCACTGTCGGCAGCAGGCCGGGTCAGGCGCCGGACCCGACAAAACCGGATCGGGCCAGACCGGACCCGGTCGGACCGGATCAAGACCGAACAGACCAGACGCGATCGAATCGGATCGGGCCAAACCAGATCGGACCAGACCAGACCAGACCAGACCAGACCAGACCACACCAGACCAGACCACACCAGACCGAACCGGACCGGACAGGACGGACCAATTTAAGACAGATCAGGTCATAAAGGCGCCCGACCGTTGTAGCCATCTTACGCAGGAATCCTGAATAGACGAACTGACGAAAAGTGACACTTTCCCGTCAGGGTGATTTAACGCGGACTGAGACTGAGACCCGGCAGCAGTGGTCAGTTTTCCACAGCGAAGTTATACCTGAACCCGCTGATGATATCAGACAAGGTCTGACACAATTGTCAATGACCGTCCATACCCTCACGCACGTACATGAAAAGCAGCCGAGCTGGCTTTCGCGTTGAAGAAATGTCCGACTGTGGTGTGTGCTAAAACGGTGCGGTCACCGACACCGGCCGCCGCGTGGGGTAGTGCGCCCAGTGGTCGGACGCTCGGGATGTTGTAACTGATCACGCGGCGGCACGTGTCATTGCTAATGTCGCCAGCGTAGAGTCTGTCACGCCGGCTGCCGCGGGGACGGGGACGGACAGCCAGGTTCGAATGCGCACTAGAGGCGTAACAGTTGGGAGAGTTTACATGCCCCGTAAAAGGGGTTTGTGAGTTCTCATACATGTGGCTGTGCCGTTTGGGAACTCACACGCTTCCACAAGATTACGCTCTAGATCCTTCCAACCCAAGACCCAAAACGGAGATGCTATTTCACGTGGGGGCACATCGATGTACTACAATACAAGTAAGAAACACGGAAATATGAGCGCATGACGTAGACACACTTTACTTTAACGTGCGATCCTGTGGTGGTCAGATCTGCCTGAACAGCGTCGAATGTCTGAAAACGTGCGTAAAGTTGGCTCATGCTGATTCTCGCGTCGTACACAGTTTCCACGAGTGAGCCCCCCCCCCCCCGCCATTAGAGCGTACTCGCCGAGCACTGACCTTTGACGGGGACGACGTCGCAGAGGAGGCCGTTCTTGCGCGCGTCCAGGGCCAGCTGATGGGAGCGGAGCGCGTACTCGTCCTGCTCGGCCTTGCTGACGCAGAAGGCGGCCGCCAGCCGGTCGGCCGAATGCCCCATCACCTCGCCCGTGCTGAACTCGGCGATGCCCGGCAGCTGGCGGGACACGCGGCGGTGGCGATGATTACCACCATTTGGAGCCTAATGGCCCTTGAGCTCACGTGACCGCGACGGTGGCTGTCAATATGTCACGTCAGGTGCGACCAGAAGGGGAGCCCTCGGTCACGTGTCCCACACGGCTGCGGTGTAGCCGTCAACTTCAGCTTAGTTTACAACATGGGGATCTGAGCCCAGCTGACAAGAGCGCATCAAGTGAAATTCCAACGTCGTGCCAAATGCATTCAAACTAGACGGCGAGGCAACCACCCGCAGCATAGACCAAGTGCGCACTCTGCAACCTCCGATAACGGCGCCTGCCTCTAGTCTCCAAGATGCACACCGCGTTTTCAAACGGCTGAGTTCCATGCCGAGCCACCAGCGCACGCCTTGCGCGCCGAGCCTGGCCGGCCGCCGCCTCGGCGAGCCGTGGACTGACCTCTGGCGCGAAGAATGAGGGCCGGATGGAGGCGAGCAGGCCGAGCCGCTGGCCCAGCGTCTTGGCGCGGTTGGCGCGCAGCATGATGGAGCGCATCTGGCGCGAGTGCCGGATCGGCACGTCCGACATGAACTCCACGCCGCCGGCCACGCACGTGTCGTACACGCCGGCCGAGATCAGGCCCACGCCTGGCGGCAGGCACGCAGCGGCGTCACGGGCGGCGCACGGCGTCACGGGCGGCGCGCGAGGTCACAGTGCGGCGTGTGAGGTCACAGGGTGGCACGCGGGGTCACAGGTGGTGCACGGGATCACAGGGCGGCGCGCGGGGTCACAGGGCGGTGCGCGGGGTCACAAGGCGGCGCGCAGGGTCACAGGGCGGCGCGCGGGGCCATAGCGATGCACCTGGTCAAGGGCGATGTTCGAGACGTCCTGCGTGCGGTAGTCCCGCTGCGCACATGCAGTGACGCGGGATGGGGACGGGGTCACAGGGGACGGCGAGCACCAAGGACAGACTCAGGTGACGACCTGGGCCACTGCCGGCGGTCAAGGTCATCGGTATCGGGTATAGGCGGTCCGGTGACGCGGCGGATCGTCCACCGCACTGGGATGACGTCACTGTCCCCGACGCATACTGCACAGATCGCCACTATCGCCCATTACAGGGTGCGCCCGAGCCACTCCACACAGCCCTCCGTCACCCATCCAGCCCGGCTGCCAGGCCCGCACCTGATTAGATAGTGATATATCAGCCCATAAGATAACGGAAAGGCAACTGATCGGGCGCTAGATGAGCAAGCACCAGGCCAAAGCCGCAGTCGGGCGGCGGGGTCCACAGTCTATCCCGCCGGCACCCGCCACCAGGAGCGTCGCTGCCCGCCCCTGCCTGCGCCGGGCGGGAGCTGGCAGGGTCGGCGGGTCTGTCCCACCGGACACGTCTGACCAGCGGCCGGTGCGGCGCCACTCACAGGTGGCGATGGCCGCGTTGGACGAGATGCAGGCCATGGTGACGGTGTGCGCCGGCGTCTTTTCCGAGAAGCCGGCGCCCAGCATGGCCTCGCGCGCGATGTTGCTCGTCTTCACCTCCTGGATGACGGTACCGAGCGTGACGTAGTCGATGTCGGCCGGGTCGCAGTCCACCTTACGCACCAGGCCGCTGCCGGCCGCCGGCAGCACGGTCAGGGGCGGCGGGGCGTGACGGCGGAAGGCGGGCAGGAGACGGCGGTGCGCGGCGGCGCCCGCCGTCGACGAACGGACGCGGTTTGGACCATACAGGGTACACAGACGTGCAGTATTCAGTTCATTTGGGATGGCGTGGGGTCCATTCTCACACCTTATTTAGCAAAGCTACCCCACCGGGGGTGCGTCTTTCGCGCAAAGGACAAGCACCCCCTCGTGCACCGATTTCGATTATCCAGCCACATGACGTGATCGGCTGTTTTCTAAAGGTCAGTGCTGGCCTGAGGACGGGCTGCTGCAGTGGCGTCAGCTGGCTGCTAAACTAAAAGGGCACGTGACCCCCAGCCGGTGCAGCGGGTCCCGTGACCCCCAGCTGGTGCAGCGGGTCTCGTCACCCTCAGCTGGTGCAGCGGGTCCCGCGACCCCCAGCCCGTGCAGCGGGTCCCGTGACCCCCAGCCGGTGCAGCGGGTCCCGTGACCCCCAGCTGGTGCAGCGGGTCCCGTGACCCCCAGCTGGCGCAGCGGGTCACGTGACCCCCAACCGGTCGGCACTCACAGCAGAGCCTCGCGGGCCAGGTCGTGCGGCATCATCTTGTTGTACTCGGTGGCGGACATGAGAAACGGGGTGCGCACGCCCTCCACCAGCACCACGTTGGGCTTCTTAGCTTGCGAGGCGGCCGCCGCCATTGTGCGCACGCCACCTGCGGGTCACAACACACGGATTTGAGAGGGCCAGCACACCGCGCGCGGAACAACGGAGACAAGGAGGTACTTAGCTGTGGTGGTCAAACTGGGGTTGGCAAAAAACGTCCTTCCCAAGCTCTCCACTGAGACCCTTTTGACGAAAAGCTGCATCACACACAGTAGATTAGGTATCCCATGAGCCATAACATAACATAGCATTGAGAGATATCTCCCATTCCCGAGAAAAATCATTCGAAGTTACTGCACTGGGCTGTGTCGGGCGAGAAATTCAAGCAGACATTCGGATGAGACTTGGTTCGGACCCCGAAACACTACACCAATATCCTCCAAAGTGGAGGTATGGTACTCCACGTGCATAAGCTAACGGAGCACGCGAGCTTTTCCGGTGCTGCCCAGACCGGTACACAGCTACACGCCGTCGGTGTCTTGTCTCCAGCGACTCTCCCACGCAATCTCCGACAGTCTGAGGCATCTCGACTGTGCACACGCTGAATGCCTGACACGGCACCGCCGAGCACAGATAGACGTGCTTTCCGAGACGTGCGCCGGCGCTTACCATAGCAGAACAGCCTCTGTAGCTGGGCGGGTTTGATTTGAAGAACAGCCATGGCGAAGTCCCCTGGGTTGAACTGAGTGCCTTATCACCTGGTGACAGGGGGTGAACGTTAGTTGAAAAGCCGATGCTCATGCACGGGACCTGATATATCAGTCCGAGCACGGAACGTTGCACCCAATTCGAAAATCCAAACATCTGCGCTTACTAAGGATAATCCCATGACCAGAGTAATCCTAAGTGTACAGCTCATGACCGAAGTCGAATCCGAAAACAATGGCTTCGAAGTTTGGAACTGTAAAGCCGAAGCCAGCGGCTTCGTATTTTTAAAACGGCCGAGCAAATACAAAGCCAGCGGCTCAAAACTTTGTACACGCGAAGTCGAAGCCAGGGACTTCGTACATTGGAAACGCTAAGCCAAAGCCGAACCACCATCAAGTTAAAATCAAGAGGTCAAAGCCCACGCCAAATCTAATGTACAGTGTCGTTTTGCACGGCACAAAAAATCGCGTCTGTTCAAACCCGTGGGGTTCAGAAACATACCAGTTGTTTTGCGGAATTACTAAGACAGGACGGATTGACAACTGACTGAGACAATATGCATTCTGGATGGAAAGTCTTCCGATCACCGTTCTCGTCCTGCGTGTCAGTACACACAGTACGCTTCGGACAGTTAGTTCTGCCGCCGTCGTCAGGTGTTAATTTGTCCTAAGGATGACCGACCAGCTTGCGATTCCGTTCGTGCATGCGTCCCAGCCTAGGAAAGTTATGTGGTGGACTGGGGTAGCCGGTCACTGTTTTAGTAAAGTAAAGTCACAAATGCAGTGAATAATCAACATGTCAAATCCGCAACATTTTAAGCCCGCATAGATCTGAGACCGGACTCATGATCAAATGCTTGTTTTGGCCGAAACCAGTTGTCTGAAATGAGATGAAGCCAAAGATAAAGCTGAAACTAATTGTTCAAAACGGCACGAAGCCAATGTCGCAACCGAAGCTAGCCGTGGAAAATGGCTCAAAGTCGAAGCCAAAGCCGAAGCCACTGGAGCAAACCATGACTTCGCCACGCCCAGGCCGAAACTGAAGTCCTTTCATCTTTTTGCCTGATAACTATATGTTGGAGAGAAGTCAACACTTACAGATTATAAAGCATGCTAAGTGGTTTCTTATGGTTTAATTACATCAAGACCATTCGTTGCTCTGACTAAAACATTACATAAATGAGCATCAATTTGACATGCATTTGGTATATGAACTGAATGTGAAAGGGCAAAGGATTTTGAAAGGTGATGTTACTTATTTTATTCTGAGGACCACAAACCCAGACAACATCTATTACTCCCTTCTAGCCAGCAGACAGTTCCACATGTTCTGCCACACAGGGATTGGACAAGTACAACCTGCCACCAAAGGCATCCAATGTAGAAGGATGGATCACATGCACCATCTTCTGGATCTGACACTTCCCAGGTCAAAGAGGCGGCCATATCCTCTGAAGCATCCACATAGGTGCAGACCACCTTTCTGTGCATGACTCAGGCCGGGGAGTGACCCAAACACTCTGGGGTTCTTGCGACCCGCTCAACATGATCTATGAGTACAAAAGTTTACCATGTTTCAGATTTGCTGGAAAAACTCAGCTGGCTATCTGCAGACAGCCTCACCAAATACTGTGTTGTGTTGCTTCTTCAAAAGGTGCTAGCTCTGGTAAACCAGAAGTGCTGGCCTGTGAATTTTGGGAGGCATCTCAAACCCTACATCCTCACATGACAGGATGAAGATTCCTGCTTCTACACAGAGATGGGAAGGGGACACCTGTATTGCCCACATGCTAACCAGCATAACTACCTTACCTGTGACCCCACATGACTTAGTGGGTTTGGCTGTGCACTGAAATCCACCTAGCACCTCAATGTCTACTCTGACCACATAATGGTTCCAGCTTTGCACTCATAGTCGTTGGCACCTTATTTCAATGCTGTGATGATGAAATTGAACAGCCATGAGCCTACTGTGGACAGCGCACATACATGTCTGTCTTTGTCTATGCTGCCAGAGTGGTGCGGTTGGAGTGGTCTCTGGTGCAATGCTGGTGAATATAACTAACAAAAATATTGGCTAAGAAGCACATGCATGAGGAGTATGGAGACCTGGAGATGTGGAAGAGGGTGGGGAGGGGGGGGGGGGGGTGGAGAGGTCAGAGGTGGGATCAGGAAACTGGGCCTAGTTACCATCAGCTGAGTTAATGCAAAAAATGTGCATCATATTACAAACATTAGGAGAAGAAATGCAAGCCCATTCTGCCCGAATTGTGGAATACATATAAGGCCAAATTGGTCCCAGAACATATAGTTCAAGTTTCTGTAATTTTTATAATGGTGCACTTCAATACCCAGCATGATATTGAGCCACCCAGCCAAGAAAAGATGCTGACTGTAGGGCTCTTCATTACTTTTTAGAAATGTCATGATCCAACCCTACTAGATTTACATTTATGTGCCCAATCACCTGCCTCATTCTTTGTAGCAAGCCAAGAGAAGCTGCTCACTGTAGGGCTCTCCCTTACTTTTAAAAATGCCATGATCCAAGCCTACTAGATTTACATTTATGTGCCCTACTACTTGCCTCATTCTATGCAACAAACACATTTCATTTAGCAGTGAATATTTCATTACCTATTCAGTGATGGCATAGGCATAGGCAGCACAATGAGTGTTCTCAACTAAGGATAACTTCATTAAAGCTTTGCTGTTTATTTAAATGATATTTATTAAATACACACTGCTTGTAAAAATTATCTATTGAATGCGCATATGTCAGCATGCATGTCAAAGTGGAAGACCCAAATCATGTGCATTATCTGATGACAACCAGCCAGCCATGCAACAGTTATTCTTTGACATTTTGGGCACAGTTTTTCTTGACTGTCAACATGTTCAGAAGAAAAGTTTTTTGGTCTGGTTACAGATTAGGGTTAAAAACTTTCAGACAGATCCATCACTGACTATCATTGGGGCTTGGACCTTGGAATATGCTGAGTTACTGAGGCTGTATGGCATTGCCTGTCTCTCACCCAGACAGAAAGGCTAAAGACTGCATAGAATGAAACCCATTGCCCATGGTTCCTCAGGCATGCAGCTTCATTAACCACTGTGCTATCAGCACCTTGCAGTGGAAAGATACTAATGCTCTGTGTACTATGGTAAGCTGCTAAATATCTATAAACTGCATAGTGGCTGGCCCATCCTGGTCCATTGAAGATGAGCTACACACAAAACCAATACTGCTTGAACACAATATATATATATATATATATACATATATATATATACATATATATATATATATATATATATATATATATATATATATATATATATATATATATATATATAATCTCCAAAGATTCCACCTACTGCACCTCATGTGCACACAAAATTTATGTGCTAAGCCTGGATCACGCATACACTTGAATAATCCTAGGCCAAACTGAGCTAAATTGCTGGCTTATCTATGCCTGAAAAACAGTTTAAGCTTTTTGTCAAAAGTTACAACATAATTTCTTGAACATGGGCTCCCTGGACACCAAAATCAGTGGTGATCAAGTGCCAAACATGCGCACTCAAACTGATGGTGTGAAGCTCTGAAACTGTGGTCACAATGGCTGCTCCAGACATCGTCATCATATGGAGTTTCGCAGTCTGGCTTACACTCCCAAAATAAGTGAAATTCATTTTCTTCTCATATGACATTAACTGAACCCATGATCCAATGTATACCCTGACCCATGATCCGAATTTCAAGTACTTTCCTATATAACAACCAGCACAACGTTTGATGAAATCTACAGCAGGATCAAAATTCAATGCATTGCAAATTTTACACAGCTACAGTGCTCCACGGCTTTGGTAGACACCTTCATAAATGACTTTCATCACGCTAAGTTGCACCCCGCCACCTAAAAAAACACAGTTTGCACGTATTTCCTACCTACCTTCGGTGGATGCACCGGCGAATCAAAATGTATGAAGGGAATAAGAATGTTGGCCCACCCCCTTCACTTGAGTGCCTAGAAAGACCGTCTTCGGAAAGCGGCGCAGATTGAGAACGCTGGACACCCAGATCTGTATCGAAAATAGCAAACCACTCGTAGAGATCTCTGTTTTCACCAATCCGGTTCTAGATGGGAGAAAACTCACCAATCAAAAAGCTAACACGTAAAACTGCTCTGCTACTTCTTTGCTTCGAACAGGTTCTTCGTCTCGGGACAAGCTGGCTGCACAAATATTCATTTTGTGCGTCAGCTGATTTATTAGAGTTAAAGGACCTCCTTGATCCCGAAGAGCGTTCTAATGCTGACTGATCTATTTTATGTCTTTTAACGGCACCAAATGATCAGCTCATCAATTTTTTACTGCATACTATTCCGTACCTCATCGTATACTTTCAGCTGCCGTCCAGGCAGCCACAACCTTTTGCCTGGTTACGTGGTTGGAATAGTATCTTGGGGAAATTTTCATACCGTTGGTACCAGCGTACGTTAGAATGCTAGTTTTTAATATTTTATCGATTTTGATGTGAAAGAATTATGTCATTGCATACATCTCAATCAAATGTCCGTCCACAGAAGATGCACTCAACAGCAGAGAAGATATACCGTACATTGTAGCGGTCACGTGACCAAAATAACGATCACGATCGTCAGAGGCAAATGGCGTCGGTGCGCTGTGGGCTACGTCTGGCCGCGTCTCGTGCAAAATAAGGTGTGCTCGAAAATCCTACCTTTCATTGTTGAATTTCTTTTGAACTTTGTGCATAATAGGATGCATTGAACTTGTAAAATGTGTTGTATGGTCCTTCATGTCGCCACACATCCTGTTATATGTGTTTGAAAACCCGGTACGAGTTGGGCCGTTGAGGATCGTGCGTGTGAAATTTTAAAATGCCGTTATCTGATAATCTTGCGTGTTCATATTCTTTAGTTTCATGGTAAAGTGCGCCAGGGAAGATTTGAGTCACTGATGCTATCGTTTTGCCCATATATAGCTGATTGTGGCCAGCTCAGGGATATTATTGCCAGCCACACTGGATTGGCCATACTTGTATAGTCGATATCAGTTGATTGAGCTGCATCAGTTATATCAGGGTTGTTTTGCCATCAGCTGAGTGTGGTGGACCCTTGATTCATTGAATCGGATCCCCCAAATCTTTCATTTTTGAACACTGTTGGTACTGTCTGCAGGGTGATGCATGATGAGGTAAACAAGAGAGGGAAAAATGATCACAAAGCATGCATATGTACTTGTGCAGTAAATGAGTATAGGTCTGATTCTATGTAAGGATGTATAACTTGCATTTTCAGTTTGAAATGTTAGGTTCAATAGGTTCAATCATACATCACTGTCCATTAAACTTAAGTTGGCATTCAAGGTGTGTCATGGTTCTAAAGAGACATTTATGCATGATATATCTCAGTGGCTCTGCCAGTTTGCTTCAGTTAACTGTGTTAAAGATATTAAGTTGATGGTTTTCATGGCTGAATATCACTTGCAGGACTGTTCTCTGTATGGTTACTGAACAATATAGAAAAGTGATGACAAGGCACATGATGGCATATTGATCATAGTGACCATGTATTGTCCCTGCTTTTTCCTGCCACCACTGAAAAGCATGACATGATTTAGAGGCATCACATTACTGTAGTATTGTTGTCTTAAAAATATTTTTAGCATAATGCTATAATATATTGTGCTTTTTTATGTGAATGTTATGATAGTATGAATTCAAAGGTTTCAAACCTAGTGAGTTTTCTTGAACCAGATATATTCCATTGATATTGTAGTCACATGAAAATGCATTGATACAAACAAAAGTTACCACCTTTATTTCTGTTTGCTGCACATGGCTTTACCAACTATGACTTCGCCAGGTGGCCTTATCCATGCTGCTAAATGTGTGCAGATACTGCCCAAAAGGTTTGAAAACATTACCTCAGTTAACAAGCGGGGTGCCAAGGTAGTGGAAAACTATATGCATGTGTGCTCCACACAAATATCTCACCTACACCTGAGCCACTGATTTCCTGTAACTGCCTCACTTTTTCAACACTTGTTCCATCCCAGGTCCCTCACCATGACTTCTGATCTCCCTATGTCTCCACTCACCATCTCCTCACCTCATGGCGTCTCCTGCCCCCAGGTTGGGTAGCGATGAACTCGAGCGGGCCGCCGGCCGGCTGGGAGCCGGGCGCGGCGGCGTCGCCGGCCGCCGCCGGCTCGCCGCTGCCGTCGGCGGTCGGCGTCGCCGGTCCGAGCACTCCCGTGAGCGCCGCGCCGCCGCCGCTGCCCATCCCCGGCGACACGGACCTGCCCGCCGAGCTGGTGGCCGACGGCTGGCGGCGGCTCTGGTCGCGCCGCGAGAACCGCCACTACTTCTGGAACCACCGCACCAACGAGTCGCTCTGGGAGCTGCCCACGGCGCACGGCCGACAGCAGGTGCGCGCGCGCGGCGGCGGCGGCGCGGGCGCAGTGCTGTCGGCCGGGAGGGCGGTGGGGTGCGGTGGGATGGGTGGCCTGTCCGGCTGAAGCTTCCATCAGCTGGTGCCCATGCCTCTAATGCCGTGAGGTTTCGTGGAGGTGGCTGTAAGTGTTGGGATACCTCGCTCAGGGCATAGTGCGTGGGTTAGTGGACTGAAGCATTTGAAGTGGTTAAAAACCCTGTGCTGACAAGTGAGCACAACTATTTCCTTGATCTGGTGTCAAGTTTTATGGTTTGTGACAATGGTCAGGCTGGGGGGCCGAAAGTGCGGTGGTTGACGCGTCTGCGTTAACCACTACGTCTCTGGGGAAACCAGAGATGGGGGGGGGGGGTTGATTTACTGTGGTTCCCACCCTTCCTGCCAGGATGAGAGGCAGGCGACACCATATAGGCTTAGCAACTGAGTGCGTCGTAAAACCCCAATGACAACGACGACGACGACGATTGAAATATTTTAGAAACTTGTTCATTAGCTGGTTGCATTATTTCTCATGCTCATACAGTATGTCTGCTGCATGGCCACGATTGCGGCGTGTGGGTCTCTTTTCCACTCACACCATTCGTCCTCTCGTTCGCCGCGACCGCGTGACATCGGCTGGCAGCGTGTTCTGCCCCCGTGCGCGGCTGCGTCCCGGCAGAGGCCGCTGTGTCTCCACTGGTGTCACACGGGCGTCCGTGCCGGCAGTTTGACCCTGTGTCGGACCCGCTCGGCATCATGGGTCAGCCGGGCCACTCGGGCCAGGGGCTGAAGAGGCGCGCCTCCGAGGAGTTCGGTGGACCGGCCAACAAACGGATCCCCGTCGTCCAGTGAGTGCCTCGTGCGCGGTCAGCGAGCCGGCCTCCATCCTCTCCCGCGCTCTTTTGTCATGATTGTCGAGGATCAGTTGTCCGGTGTGTTCGTCATATGACCTCCGTACACAAAATGTGGATTGAGTAGGATCCATCTTTCTTGGTCCTTCAATGCGATGTGTAGGCGTGCTGCGGTGCTCTTGCGAAAGGCCGCCTCGTAGCGCTCATCAGCTGACCTGCTTTCTGTGCGTGCCAGCGGCCCCTGGGACCTGGAGGTGCCGACGAACGCGGTCATCTTCGAGCGGCCGCCCATCGCCACGCCCCACCCGCACCCCGACATAGAGGTGATGCGCGCCCAGCTCACCAACAAACTGCGCCAGTGCTACCAGGAGCTCTGCCACAGTCGCGAAGGTGAGGGCGGGCGCCGGTCTCCCGGCCGGGGGCGCCGCCGTCAGCAGCTGAGCACGTGCTGACGCGGTGAGGTCCGGTGCCGCTCGGCACGCCGGTGCGCTCCTGTGAGAAGCCGCGCCGGTCCCGGAGCGCTGGCCTCCGACGCGCTGTCGCAGCCCGCTGGCCGCCTCACCGCCGCCGTCGCGCCGCCGGCACGCCGCTGGGCCTCGCCGGCCCACTTCGTCATCACCTCGTGGCGTGGGAATTTCTGGCTGTTCGCTGGTGTCCGTGTGTGTCCGCCTATGCGGCAGCCGGGAGCTCTTCTGACCTGACCTGACCTGGCCCGCCAGGCGTGGACGCGCCGGCCGGCTCGTTCAGCCGCTGGCTGATGGAGCGCAAGGTGATCGACACGGGCACGGACCGGCTGCTGCCCTCCCAGTGCTTCCCCGAGATCTCCATGTCCATGTATCGCGAGATCATGAACGACCTGCCGATGAAGCTGGTCAAGCCCAAGTTCACCGGCGAGGCGCGCAAGCAGCTCTCCCGATACTGCGAGGCCGCCAAGAAGATGATCGAGTCCCGGTGAGAGGCCGCGTGCGACTCGCGCCCCCCCCCCCCCCCCCGTCCTCCGTCCCCGGAGACGCGTGGACGGCGGATGTCCCACACACGTGACCACGGGGGAGGCGTGGCGAGAATTCATCCTATGCGTCATCGTGCTCTGGGAAACTGTGTTGTAGGCGGTGGTTTTGCTGGAGCGCAGACTTTGACTGTTGAGATGTCATTGGTTTAGATGTGGCTAGAATTCGAATAGTTTACGAATGTTACGCTGCGTTGCCATGTGAATGCGATAGTTGCGTTTTGTTGCCGTTGACACATATATATATATATATATATATATATATATATATATATATATATATATATATATAATTTCTAGGGCGTACGGCTGTGTTCCGAAATCCACCGGCATGGATGGAGAAATGTCACCAGCTACCCTTAACAAATGGCTTCTAACTCGCTCCTACCATGTTTCCAAGTATTTTACTTCAAACCAGTTGCGATCATTTCGTTTCGGTGTCAGCTGTGGGAAAGGTGCCATGGGCCTCACGGGATCCCGGACTGCATTACACCAACCAGCCGATATATTGTTGGCACTCCATCGGCCTCGTGTTTTTTGGGCTCCGTTTATAGACATAACGGCTTGCATTTTTCAACAGCGAACAATAGGTGAGCTACATTGGGTAATACTTTGCAATCCTGGTTAATCAATAACGCTTCACGACGATTTAGATTTTGGCTACTCGTGCTAGGTAGCCGACTTTCCGCCCATGGCATATCCACCGTGGCCATCAGGCAGCTGAACCATGCCTGTCAGCGGCCGGTTTGCCCGCAAGGACTGGGACAGCGCACCCCATCTGTCCTCACCGCCTGTCCCGTCTGTCTGTCTGTCCTCACCGCCGCCCCGGTTGACCTCACGGTTGCCCCGCCTGTCGCCAGTACGGCCAGTCCGGAGAGCCGCAAGATCATCAAGTGGAACGTGGAGGAGACGTTCACGTGGCTGCGGCGCACGGTGGGCGCCTCGTTCGACGACTTCCAGGAGCGGCTGACGCACCTGAAGCGCCAGTGCCAGCCGCACCTCACCGAGGCGGCCAAACAGTCGGTGGAGGCCATCTGCCTCAAGATCTACAACCTGTCGGCCGACTACGCCAAGAAGATCCACGACCGGCACTGGGAGCTGCTCAAGGAGAACAACATCACGCGTGAGTGATGGCGACGGCGCTGGCGGCCACGCCTGGCGCGGGAGGGCTGACGACACCCGTCAAGGCGTGTGGCTGGAAAGCGAGGGGTCGCTCTGGTGACACGTCATCCTGGCACGTCGTCGGTGCGTCTAGGGTCTGCATTTATATTATTTTGTTTGTCTACCCTGTGAGTGGGGTGCGTGCTCCTTCTGTCGCCGCTGCACGCTGGATGGCCCGTGAGATGCCGCTGGCTGTCCCATGGCGTCACTGGAGGGGGGGGGGGGGGGGGGGGGGCGCCGAGTACGGTGTTGACACTGGCTGTCTGTCCCGTGACGTTGCAAATCACCATGATGATGGCTGTCCCGGAGAATGGCTGATGACTGCTCTGTGATGACCGTGTGTCTGGCAGTGACGCGTGCGGTCTCGTGCCGCGGCGCGCCTCCCCCTTCCGTGGCGATGCTGCGTGTTCGGTCGTGATGTGGGCGATCTGGTGAGCACGCTCCATCGGCCCGTCCTTGTTGCAGAGATCAACGCGTCGCTGACGGTGGAGAACCCGCGCAAGGTCTGGTGTTTTCCGGTGCAGTACGCGCTGGCCTGTCCGCGGCTGCCCCAGGTCGAGTACCTGCACGACAAGGACACCATGATGCTGCGCTACAAGGGAGACGCCCTCAAAGTCAACACCGTCTACCTGCAGAAGCTGGTGGGTTGGAGCCGCCGGGGCTCGCGGGTCAGACGCGCGCGGTGCCGGGTCCGTCACGAGCGCGCTGTGTCTCCCCTTGGATCAGGGGCGTCAGAAGCGGACACTGTGCAGCTGCCATACTTGGCAGAAGTTGCTGTGCAGCGTCCACTTCTGTCATATGTGACAGAAGTGGACACTGTATAGCCGCGTTGCGTACTGTTCGGGATAGCCGAAGCTCTCGCAATATCCTCTGCGAACGCTGAGAACTGCGTGACGTCGGTAACGTGACGTTCACTCGTGCTTGTGTTCCGGTGTTCCTGGGTTCCTGCAGGGAGCACTGAACGCATGGCCCCTTGATTTACGTATACGGTCCCGCGCCCCCCGCCGCGAGGGCCGGAAGCTCAGGAATGACCGGCCGAATGGGACCGCCGGCGGGCGGGGACCGGTGACCTGTGCGGCTTTGGCCGTCGGTCGGTAGGCGGCTGTTGGACCCTGTCGCGCCGTGCCCGCCGGGTCCGCTGGGCCCGCGTGCTGGACGGGTCCTGACCGCCGCCGATGCCGCCGCCGCCGCCGCAGGACCAGCTGTACCGGTACAGCTGCGCCGAGGACCGCAAGCTCGACTCGTTCCTGCCGCGGGTGTGGTGTATGCTGAAGCGGTACACCACGTTCTGGGCGGCGTCCGGCGGCGGCGAGTCGGCCGCCACCCAGGCCACGCAGGTGAGCGCCGCGTCCGACCCTGCCGCCAGGTCCGGGCCGAGGCGGAGCAGATGCTGGGTAACGGACGTATGCGCCGGGGCGAGCATTAGCAGGAGGGGGCAGGGGAACATATGCGTAAAACGGCGATGTTCCAGGGTTGAATGCTCGAGTCGAGTGCTTGAGCGCTTGATCGATTTGTGTGATTTAGAGGCTTGTTGGTTGACCTTTGTGGAGAATGTGTTGTGGGCATGTCCAACGAACGTAGCCATCGCCTGGCTGTGCCGCTGAGTTAGTGCCGCGCCCGGCTCTAGTCTGGCCGGCGGCCGGCGCCCGCCGGTCGTGACCCGCGCCTGGCGTGCCCCACAGGCGGCGCTGCCCCTGACCGTGCTGGAGTGCCTCCACAAACACTTCGGCGTGACGTTCGAGCTGTTCGCGTCGCCGCTCAACTGCTACTTCCGCCAGTACTGCTCGGCCTTCCCCGACACGGACGGCTACTTCGGCTCGCGCGGGTGAGTGCCGGCCGCCGCCGACGGCCGGGGCCGAGTGCTGCTGTGCGCCGGGCTCGGCGGAGAGGCGTCGGCGGTGCGGAGTCAGTGGCGGTGTTTTTAGGACCGCGAGTGGGCGTGGTCCAGACTGCCGTGACGTATTGATGGCGCACGATGCGTGGCGCGACGGGCTCACCCCGTCCGGTTGGCGTTGAGCGGCGGTGTCTGCGTGGTCAGGCTGGCGGATGGAGCACCTCCGACTGACTGACGCACCCCATGGAGATCCGGGCCGCGTGACGATGGCTGTGATCACGAGATGGTGGTCGTCAGAGTTGTATGTCACGAATGACCGCGACAGGATCGCTCGTGATGGGACGTGGTCACTTCGGGCCACGTCACACGAACAAATGCCTAATTCCGCGTTTAAAGGAGTGTTACCTGTGTTGAGCCTTTGCAGGCCACTAAGCCGGTGCGGCGTTTTCGATTCATCGTAAAACTCACACTGGCGGGGCACTCTGTCCGTTCCGTTGGCCTTACGGAGCTGGGCAGCGTCGCTCCGCCCCGTCGGCCGCGGCGTGTGTGTCTCTGCGCTGACGCTCCCTCGCCCGGCCGCCAGGATGGTGCTGGACTTCAAGCCGACACACGGCTCGTTCGAGGCCAACCCGCCCTTCTGCGAGGAGCTGATGGAGGCGAGCGTCAACCACTTCGAGCGGCTGCTGTCGCACACGCCCGAGCCGCTGTCGTTCGTCGTGTTCTTCCCGGAGTGGCGCGACCCGGCGCCGCAGGCGCTCAGCCGGCTGGAGTCCAGCCGCTGGAACCGGCGTCAGATCACGCTGCCGCCGTTCGAGCACCACTACCGGCACGGCTTCCAGCACGTGCTCTGCAGGTGCGGTGAGAGGGCGGCGCGCCGGCCCGCCGCTGGCGACCGCCGCCTGTAGGCGCACCGCCGGGTTTGTGCGGTCTCGCGATGAGTCTATGGGTGGGCTCAGGGTGTCGAACAGCACGTTAAGACGGCGAGGCAGTGGGTGACGTGTGTGGGTGTGCAGGGGTGGAACGAGGCTGACGAGTGGGCACGATCAGTTCCGCCCCGCACGCCGCGCAGCCGCGTGAACGTTACTGGCCGCTGTGTGCGTCACCCCAGCCAGTGTGCGTGATTTTGCCCGCTGTTCGCAGTGCCGTCCGGGTGGCGTGACCGGGTGCCGTCCTGTTCCACCTGTCAAACCCTGCCTGCTGGGCCACCCTGGCCTCCTCAGCGACCGTCCTGACCCGGCGCCCCAGCCCCGGCCCCGGCCCAGGTCCCGGTCCGCCTTCTGTCCGACCTCTCGTCCCCCGTTCGCGAGGTAACCCGCTCCCCGTGGCTGTGCGCGGCGCGCGGCACTCCCCGTTCCTCTCAGCGCCACGGCTGTCGGCTGAGTTCCTACCTCGTGTGCGCCTGCGCCAGGCGGGTCCGCGGGGAGCCGCAACACAGGCCGTTTTACTTGCTGATGCTCCTGACGCAGAAAACTCTTCGGATGGCAGTTCGTGCTCTTGGCTTACCCGTAGCTGCGTCCTGTGCGCAATGTTCCGACAAGTAATATATGAGTCACATGTAGTTCGTACCTTCCCTAACATATAGCCGGTGCCTCGTGTGGAATTGTCCTAAGGAGACAACCAAGTCCAATCCCGTCCAGTAGTCCATGTCGGATGCTGCCATCCTAATCCCATGACACCTGGCGCGCGCGTGATTCGTCGAGTCTGAGGATGCCAGTGATGACCCCCTGACCGTGCGACTCCGCGTCGGTGCTGTGTGGCGCGCCGACTCCGTGTGACGCGTCCCTCGCGCCGCCAGGGCCGACTCGACCATGCGCTCGGGCAACGGCACGGTGGTGGTGTGGCTGCAGAACGACGCCGGCCACGCGCGCTGGGGCCCTACCAAGGAGCGCGTCGATGCCCTCCTGGATGCGTTCCGGCCGAACCGCGAACGGCAGCGGGACCGACAGGACCTGCTGTCGCCGGGCCGGCGCGACAGCACGGGCCCGGCGGACCCGGCGGCCGCCGGCGCCGCCGCCCCTGCCGCCGCCGGCCCCGCGCCGGCACCAGCGCCAGCGCCAGCGCCGGCCGTGTCGGCGCCGCCGTCGGCCGGGCAGCCGCGGCCCGACGTCGTCTCGGCGTGAGGAGGACTGCGCCCGGTGGCGCCGTTTGTATGTACAAAGTACATGTGCCAGGCCGGCAGCTTGTAAAGCTACCGCGTTTTAGTTGAGTGGCGCCGTTGTTTTCGGTTGAGGTGGCCGGTGCGCTGCCGCCGGTTGATTGGCCGGGCGCTGAGCCGGCGCCGCGCGGCGACAAGGTGCCCCGCGCGGCGGATGAACGCCGTGGGAGGGGTGTGTCTGCGCTCGTGTCCTCCGTGGCGTGTCGGAGTGACCCGGTGTACCGGTGTCGCGCCGTTCCAAGCGAATATCTCTACTGTCAGATGCTGTCGCTCTCCGCATCCCCGGAAAGAGTTGCCTTGTTTTATATTTTTACACTGCAAGTTGTTTTATATTGCTGGCCGGCCGGGCGGGCTGTGGTCGAGCGTGGGTTTGGGGGTGTGTGAGGGGTGCGAGTGCTCCGCTCGCGTCAGGGAGGGGCTGCCCGTGGGCCAGCCGTCGGGCTTACGTTGACCAGGTGTGCTCTGTTTTGCGTCACCACAGCCATTACATGCATAGCATCTAGCTTCTGCCGGCTCAGGCTGCAGACGTGTTTCCGTGCTACCAGGTGGTGTGCTCGTCTTGTTTCGCGGTCTTGTCACGTCTAGATCGTTTGCGGCCGTTTTTTAGTCAGATTTGATTAGCGTAGTTTTAACATATCATTACGGTTAACATACTGGTGGCTGCGGACCACACGTTTGTTTGATGCCAGCGTTTTGAGCCGCGGGCCACGTCCAGCCGTCATGCAGCTTGCATTACTGGACTCCGCTGTGGGCGCGGGACGGGAATATAGCCACGTCTGGAGGACGCGCCTCTGTCAGGCCAGCTTTGGACGGACTGGGCAGACGCCCGAGCGTTCCTGCGCCCCCGTGTTCCTCTATCTCGTATCCCTGTGTCCCCACATCCCTGTGCCCCACGTCTGTTTCCCTGCGTCCCTGCGTCCCGCGTCCCTGGGTCTCGCGTCCCTGGGCCCCACGTCCCTGTGCCCCCGCCGCCTCGTGTCCCCGTCCCTTTGTCTCACGTCCGTTTCCCTGCGTCCCTGCGTCCCGCGTCGCTATGTCCGGCGTCCATGGGTCTCACGTCCCTTCGCGACCCTATGTCCCACGGCCCTCCGCGTCCCGGAGCCCCTTCGTCCATGTGTCCCTGTGTCAGCGCCGATGGCTGAGACGCAGGGCTGGGCGGCCGACCCATGTCTCGCGTCAGGTCAGACGCTCGGACCACTGCGTCCTCACTGCTGCCGCCGGGAGAACGCGGCGAGTCCCGCATGGAACCCCAGCATACTCCAGGTGGCGCCAATGAAGGCCGAGCCGACGCTATCGAGGGGCGCTGCCGGCCAGCCTGCGGACAAAAGCACCATAGTAGAACCTCGTGTGGCAATCGTTCGTAGGACAAATTTCGCATGCCTTAAGTTTGTTAAGATGAAGTACATGGGACTTCATGTTCGCGGCATCGAAAGTGGAAGTGGATTATGGAAATTTCCGTTGGATAAATTTGGCTTGGTAAATTGTTGGGAACGACAAGTTTCTGACGAAAGTGGTCGTGAGCGCAGCAGTGCGGTTGAAACCGGTTCGGGCGCGATGATCGCGACTGGTGCGGTTTGTATGGCAAAAGTACACACGCATACGTTCGTATACCGACGCAAGTTTGATAAAGTTCGCGAGACAGGAACTTGGAATAATATTGTGAGATTCGCATGCTGTTGAATGCGGCACACAAGTGCTTGTTAGGGTAAAGTTTGTTTGGCAATAGTGCCTGTGCCAAAGTGCGTAAGGATATGCATTACATGCAGGTAGGTGAACAACACTTACGCAAATGTTCCTCGGAATAAGGTTCGTTTGACTACCTACGCAAAGATCATATGCACGATATGCACTGCAAGCCGATATGCTGACCTGGCGTGATACCCATCACACATTCCATCCTTGGTGCCAGACCACTGGTGAGTGTGGTGCGGCGCCGCCACGTCGGGGGGGGGGGGATGGGTGGGGGATAGCGGTCGACAACGACAGTTGAGTGAGTTAGGTCAAATATTTTGACTGGCCTAATTCCGCATGCCCTCCAGGGGCTGGCATATTATCTGCATCAATTGGAGTAGTGGCGGGTGCTACTAGGGTGGAAGGGACCGAGGGTTGAAAGAGACGAACAAAAATGAGCACCGCAGGCTGCCCAGCGTGTCACTTGTGCTTCCCTTTATCCCTCATCCTGACAACGCATCTGTCCACGCCGCCGCCTCAGCCCTCTGAGCTCACCACGGACGCAAGGTGACGGTCGAGGCGGGAGCCAGCTCGCATGTGAAATACGTGAGCAAACGTGCAAGTGGCAGCAAGTAGATTGCTTGCATCAAATGAACAAGAGGATGTACCCGCTGAACCCCATGCGATTAGGACGTTACATTCTCCCGGCACAGCATTGCCCGAGGCTTTCACTTCCAAATCGTCCAGTCACTATTCAGTTATACGGCGGATGGAGCCAGAAATTGCACAGTGAAACCCCATGTCCTAGATCATCCCGCGTAGGCCAAGTTTCAGCGAAATTTCTGGGCTGACTACATATAATGTAATAGTGAGTGGTTGGATTTGTTAAGAAACCGAAAGGCCGGTAATTCTGCTCATCGTGAGGCTCGTATTAAACGTTACGGAAAATAATGGATTGGCGATGACTGGACGCGTTCTTTGGTGCAACGTTTTGACCGGAATGCGCGCGAGTCAGTGAATTCTAGGACATGACTCATGAGCATTAGAGCCTGGAGATCATACTTTCAGTACTCAGGTAAATGCTTGCCAATGATTTTCTTCTGAGATGAGCGTCGGACAGTTTATCAACATTCAAAAGAAGTCTAGTGGTTCGTGGTTTCTCTCGTAGACAAATTTACCCGGTTTACATGGGCAGCCGAGGATAATTCGAATTAAGATCGGAACGGATCATGCGACGTTAACCCTCTCGGCGAGGGGCGTTTACATGGGCGAAACCGGCTTTACGTCGGATTAACGGTCGATAGTTCGATCCCGCTTAGTTCGAATCAAGGAACGGATTATGGGCGAAAACTGCGCTTTTGAGGCGAACTGAACAAAACAAGAAGAAAAAAGCAGGTACTCTGCGTATGGATGGCGAATGTCACGAGCCATGGTGGGCGCGAGACAGCTTTGAGGGCGAGGAGGAAGATGGACTCCGTTGGAAAAATGATATGTGCGGGACTCATAGGCTTTATAGCTACAGCACAAGCCATAACACTTGAAACACAAGAGTTGCGCAGTCAGCACTGCCAAATCTGTCACATAAGCAGTGTTATATGCAATTTTTTACTAGCGGGAAACTTTGGCTAGCAGGAAATCAGTATTTCCTTGTACTGGCCAATGACACTCACAAACTTACCACACTCATATCAGTATGCCACCCAGCATCATGTCATCTACTTTGCGCAGCCCAAGAAACACATTACCTACTCCCACACTAATGCATTTATGAGCAGCCTGCAACAGTGAGCTAAGCTACAGAAATGACTCATGAATGCTACATAGTTAGTGGCAAAAATTGTGTAACTATGTTGTCTTTCCCCATCCAATGCATCATCAGTACCTGAGGGCAGCATTGCCATTTAGACTTGGCATGGACTGGCAAGTCAGAATGCAGCTATTTGCTTTCTTGACATAATAGGGTTGAAAAACTGCTTTGATATCCTTGCAGTCAACAGCATTGGCTGATATGGACTGATGGCTAGGTGGCACAAACAGCTGTGTTCGCACAGTCCAAAGATCATAACATGTGAACCAGCCCCAGAGCTGTCATGACAAAAGCAATCTGGGCTCAAAATTCATAACAAATGATTAATTACAACAACAGCTCAATTATCCAGCTCATGGTTTGCAAAGATACATGTCACAAAAAAGCACCAAGGTAACATATTTACTCACCAGTACAAAAACAGGTAATGATGTGCACCACAGATGTTCTCTGCTTATCATGTGGCATTATGTTGGGTTTACTTAGTTTATGCACTGTTTTCTCCCACATGAAATGCACAAACCTGGATTTAGCAGAGTAATGATGACAACTATTTTCATCCAGTGTTCACATTTGCTTTCTTGCTGTTTTGACCCCGTCATTGGGCAATTTCGGTCCTACCATTAAAAAGTTCACATTCCGAGCTGACTGCAATGATCTATACTTGTTCATCCGTCATGTCATGCAGCAATTTTTAAGCTACCTTTCTCACGCAAATTAACTGACAAGCAACCAGCATCCTAATTTACGGAACATCTGCAAAAACACCCCTGGGGACTTAAGGTATTAACTTGATGAACGAAACTTGGAGGCATTCTCTGCAAGAATTTTGAACAATCCAAAAATTAAAATGAGAACAAGTCAAAGCTATATAAAATAACCATATTACCTCCATCTGGCTTTTGGACGCATGGAGCCTGCCCCAGATGTAAGCTAATCTAACCTTTAGGCGCAAAGATAGCACCAAACACCGTCGACGCCTGCTGTCTGCATAGATCAAGCGCCTAGCAAGGCTAAATTACGTGAGCATTTCTGTGCTGCTAGCCACTCAAGGCCCTCAATAATAAGAGTAGTTTTAGCAGCATGATGTCAACTTCACCTTCCTTCTCTTTTCCCTTACCATCTTGGACTTGAACCGTCTCGAGCAATAGCTAAAAACCCGTGGAAAAGCGGTAACACCGCACAAAGCTGAAATGGCTATGAACAGAACTGCGTGCGCCAGGCATTTTTCTTTTTTTTTTTGTTTAGACAGCTGACGGCCGATACTTCGGACGAAATCCCTTCCTGAACGGATGATCCTCTCACGGGAAGGGATTTCCTCCGGCGCACGATTCGAATCAGCGGAACGGCGCGTGAGT